TATCAGCTCTTCATGGTGGTGCCAGTGCTATACAGATCCTTACAAAAAGCCAAAAATACTGACTGGATTTTCGTTCATCTTCTCCCTCTCCTCATTATTTCTGCCACTGGAAGTACACATAGAAATAATAGTGACTGCTTCTTACAATGCACAGAAAGACTTGTAATCAAGCTCTTATGCCTCCTTCCTCAACAGAGAGGACACTACTCCCTTTGAGCTTATCACCCATAAAGAGATGCTCCTAAACAGCACTGGCTGGAGGCAGCACTGGCTTCTCATCCTATGTAAGTACATGGTTCCTTACCATTCTAAAGGTTGTATGGAAGGTTGCACAGAAAAATTTGTGGCCCTACAAAGCTGCAGACTGCAGGAAGTGACAAGTGCCTCTATAAGGACTTTTTTTTTATTTGCTGTCCTCCACCAAAGGCTTAACTCACGAACTGCCTGCACACATAAAAAAGGAGGGGCCCAGAAATGATGTCCTCAGGGGACTACACTTTTACTTTTCAGGTTCATTTTGTTCGTCTAATCACAGAAATGTTAGCTGGCATTTCTGCCAGACCTGAAGAGATCAGTTATTGCATCCTCCTGCTCTGAGGTTAGACAGGATAGAGTTAAACCCAGGACTGTTGAATATTTTTCTAGATATCCCCCAGCAAATTAAGTTCCCCAATACTTATAGCCTGTCTGTACCCATGTCTCACCTTGCTAACAATTAGACCTCTACCTGACTATCTAACTGAATTTTTGCTGCTTGAAATTAGGCGAGATTTCCTTTTCCTTCTCAGTGTGGACATGGAAAACAACTGACCATAAGGTTCCATTTTTAACAATTATTTATGTGTCTAAAGACTTATCTTGATCCCCTTCCTCTTCTACTAAATGGGACAAACCTTTTTTTTTCTAAATCCTTTTCTCCCTTTGCAGTCCTAAACAGGAAATGAGGTCACACAAGCTTGCTAATTCTGAAATGCAGTTTACATTCATTGGATCATCACTTACGTTATGATCCAGGCTGAACACACCTCTGGGAAGCCCATGTGGCAAGTAGCGGTAGGAACATTTTTCATCTTACTGCAAAGTTAGGACATACTGAAGGTTTGCAGTCACTAAACCACTCACAATATGTCACAGCAAAGGGTCCCAATCTCTGAAAGCACCAAAATGTACAATGGTGTGGGAGACTAAGAGTAGCTTGTCTATGAATTTCTAACCATGGCCACACCACTGGCTAGACAAAGCAGAATGGATGCTAATTGATTTTCAAGAGTTCAAAAGTCAGATACTGAAAATTACAGGATTGACAACAGGCAAATATTTTACCTGCTTGTTACTGTGCTTGGTTGGTGGGATTGGGGAGAGGCGAGAGGGGCAAAAAGTAAACATGAACAATGGGAAAAACAAATATTTCGGCATAAGTTTCCCACCTGTCCCCTCTAAGATGGCTTGTAATGGCATCATGCCAAACCAATCATCCCAGGCGTTGTTCTTCCAGCCAGGAGCAGAAGTTATGAGACAAGCAAAGAAAGAGATATCACAGGGAGCCCGCAAATCAAGGGCTCTAGGGAGTGCAGGGGCGTTGCTGTCATCAGGTGCATGGAAAGGTACCCAGAATCCCGAGTGACATTTGAGAGAGAAGCAGCAGGGAAGCATCAGCATAAAGGAAAAGTTGGGAACACCCTAGTGATTTTAGTGATATAACTTACCATTCTCCTTCATTATGTCTGCGAGGGTGGAAATAGAGGTACAGGTGGAAATTAGTGAAAGAATGTCAAAGAAGGCCTCAGAAAGTTAAGGTCTGTGTCAAACCAAAACTTGCAAAAGGAAAGGGAGGCAGGAGACAGGAGCAGCTGAAAGATAATGGGACATAACTATAGTGCTCTGCCTCTGCAGAGGAAGTATATGAGAGAGACATGGAGGAGCATGAGCCAGCTTTCACCAGAGAATCACAGACCCAGAAAAGCGTCACCATCGTGTGCAATTATGTGACAGTAGAGGAGAAAGGCAATCAGTAGAGGAAAGGGAAATTATGGCGGAGAGCCTCTGGCACACCCTGCAAGACCTCTTGTCCCAGCTCATCCCTACATTGAGCCAGGGCCTTTATAGGGACATAAAGGTGGATCTCCTTTATCACCTCCATCTGTGTGCCTATCCTGTTATGATCAGTACAGCTGGGGCAGCTAGATACCCCAGAAGACCCCTAGGTGGGTCTGGCTGGCAAAGCAAGAACTCTATGAACCAGCTAATTAGAAGGTAGTGTGAGAAGGCATGTTGCCTTCTTCCAGAAGGCATCATAACAATCATATAGAGAAATGAATGAAATGCAGAATATTTGCTTATCATGAGAGGAATCATTACTCTGTTTCAGAACTGTTGTAGTGTTGTTGTTGTTCTTGTGGTTGACAGACCTATGAGGCTTCAGTCTGTCTGAAGAACACAGGAGAAGATTTATCATTATCAGGGCTTGGAGACAACTATAGCAGTTCTGTAAAATGAATTCCCATTCTGAAATAACTGGTGAGCTTTTAAAGATATTTCTTCTGAAATTGATGAAAAATCAAAATCTCAAAAAAAAAATTATGCATAGACTTGGAATGCTGAAATAGTTCAAACACTGCCTGCATCTTTGCTGCTCAGACAGTGGAAGGCTTCACACCTGTTTTCAAATCTTTTCTCTAGATATACCTCATGAGACATACTCCTCACAATCTATTTGACATCTTTCAAGAATCAACTGCACCAACCTATACAGAGAAGCAAACTGTTCACTAAATCCAGAGTAGACTAATAAAAATAATAATAAGACTAGAAAACATGACCTATCAGGAGACACTGAATAAATTCTTGTTTAAGCTACAGCTGAGATGACTGGGAGACAACATGATGGAAACCTTCCCGCTTCAAAAGGGAAGATAAAAAAAGGAAGAGAATAAACTCTGTGTCCACTAGGGAGAGGAAAAGTTGGGCTTAAACTGTGGATGGGGAAATCTAGGTTAGACATTAGAAAAACTTTCAAGGGTAAGGAGAAAGAAGCAATGGAAGAGATTGCTTTGGGATTTCATGGAGTTTCTAGCCTCCAATGGCTTTCAGAACAGGTGAGGCAAACACCTATCGGAATACTTTTGGTCTAGTTGATTCCTTCCATGGGCAGAAGAAGGGGCTAAATGACCTCCTGATGTTCCTTCCATAGAAGCACAGCATCTATGATTCTATGATTAGGGTTAAAAGCGTATGGTTATGAGACCGATCTATAGTGAACACACATAAGTGGACTGAATCAGTGTTTCCAAAGCTGCCTTTTGTCTCCTGCAATTTGAACGCTTGACTTGGAAATTCTCCTGTTCTTTGTGCAGTTTTTTTTCTATATATTACTTAGAAGTTGGTAGGACAAAATTCCTTGCTAAGTTAATAAGAATTAGTGAGAGTTCAGATGGTTCCACATTGCAAAGAAATGCACTTAAACATACCTTTGAATTGTATGTGAGTACAGTAAGTCATGGTTTGGACTGTGGCATGGTCCAAGAGCTGCTACTGAGGGCCAGCACTCCATTTTGCCTGGCTGTGTACAAACACGGAACAAAAAGATGATCTTTGCCACTAAATGCTCTGTTTCACTCTTATATTCTAATGTTTGCATTCGAGTTGAATGGAGAAGATTAAGAACAAGGCTATGGGGTTCCAGTTATGAAAGGTATTTGTCTATGATGACAGCATCCTGGGAATTACTTCTATATTTTCCAGGAAGAACCTGTCAATACAACATTCAAACATCTCAGAGTTTGATATGTTTTTCCCACTGAGCAAGACTCCACTCTTCAAGGTAAAACACTGGTGTTCAGTGAGGGCTGCAGGCTTTTCATACTTATGCTGAGTTATATAGTTCATCATGGTTTATTTTCAGTCTGGCCCAAGCTTATAAGAAATGAAGATATTCTGGCTTAATGGGTGCCAAGTGGTCCCTACAGACAGTAAAACTCAGGCAGGTCTCAGTTCCAATTCCTATGTCTCCAACTCACTAGCATCCCTTCTACGAATAGTTTGGCTCAGATGAGAAACCATAGATACTCTCATGAAGGCTGGACAATCCACTTCAGGCACTAACGGAAGACCCCAAGCCTTCACTAAGTGGGGAGACATGATAATGCATGTGAGAGGTTGCATAAAAGCGTGACTGCATTTGAATTTGGCTGAGACTCGGAAGCAACAGCTTTCTGTGAATGGTGAGGCAGGGGGGCACTTTCTATGCCATATATACAGTCACTTCCAGGCCAAGCTCTGCTCCATACCTACTGAGTGCTCTGCTGAGTTCCCCTATGCTTTTGCTCTGATTTATCACCCCATCACTATTTTATCTTTTATTTTCTTAGCCTTAAAAATATCCCCTCTATTCAGCTGATTAAAACCCTTTGGAAATGCTTGTTCTGAACATGGACCCTTGGCATTTATGTAGGAGGTTGTACTAACACTGAAGTCCACACCATTTCTAAGCCTTTTCTTTGAGTTACATGCAATTTATCTAGAAATATGTAAATTTGTGTCTTTGAGCAACTTGGTATGATCTCACATACACATCCTACTTAATGCATCATCCTATTGCAAATGACAGTGTCCAGAGATATCAAGCACAGTTAACATATTGCAAAGTGTAGCTGTTGCTCAGTCAGCCATTTAGCACTCAGAATTCCACTGTTTCCAAGCCATACAGAGAAATATTTTCCCTCTCTGCTACTGAAGGACTCTTCTGTGAAAGGCAAGAAAATTTATGTTCAGAGGTGACAGAAGGGAAAAATGATGAATTTTTTATGTATGCTAATGAAAGAATGCAATGGTATCCTGTATGGAAAAGAGAGCAGCCTGGGTATTCGAGATACCAGTGGCCTCAAATGCAGGGAAATGCTGGTCAGCCCTTGATAAAAGTAAAGGAGGATGTAGGGAACAGTATTTGATTGGAGCCTTTCTCCATTTTCCTTCTCCCTTATGCAATTTAAGAATTACCAAACATGTCCTACCCTCTCCCATTTCCTCTCCTTAGTCAGAAGGATGATGACCAGCTTGGGATGCATCTGGTATCCGTCCTCACTGAATGACAAATTCCTGCCTTCAAAGGTGACATTAATCAGGTACCTGCAAGAAAGAGAAAAGAGACAGGAGAATGTTAATGCTTGGGAACTGAACCTGAAACAAGGTCCTGAGTTTAAGCTAAGACAGTAGGAACACAGTATGAACAGCTTTTATTCAGCTAGGGACAGCACAGGAAAATCTAAGAGGAAGAGTGGATGGTACAATAATTAAAGAAATTGGGAGAATAAGGCAACTCAGGGCAATTTCATCTGTTTTGTAACTAGGATAAGGAAGCAATGTCCCACTGAATTCATGCAAGTACACATAAAACTCATGTCTGCGCTTGCAGACCTTGATTTCCCCTTACCTCAAAAAACAGAGGGATTCATAGCAATTAGCCATGTAACCATGCTCCACAGCCTGTATTTTGTTCACTCTTCAAAGGAGATTTCACATTTCATTTGAGGACAGCTATGGCCTACAGGAGCAGGAGTGGAGATGAAACCCTCCCACACATCCAATCTATGCTGAGGGAAGGTGCAGAATAGAGAAAGGGGTGACACACCTGCAAGAAGCTCCATACCTATTAAAACAGCATGCCTTACAGGGCCCAAAGCAATTCTCTGAAATCTGAAATATCTTAGGAATAAAGATAGTGGAGTTAACATAGTCCAGTTAAAGTCCTTTTGTCTAGGCACAGAGTCATGCCTTATACACAGCAATATCAAACTAAAGGGTGATCCCTTTAGTTTCATTTATTTAGGATGAACCCTCCAGATCCCTGCAGCCAACGCTAATGATTGTCTTCATCTGGAAAGGCACCATCACTTCTGTGCAGGGCACCCTCCCTTTGGGCCATCTCAGTTGCACAAATGGATTATTAGACAGACCAGGCTTCAATCTCATTTATCCTCAGGTCTCCTCATTCAGCTCTGGCACTGGGGAAGACCTTTAAGTGGACCAGGATTACAGATACACCAATTTCAAGGCTTTTCTGTATTGTTAGAGCATGTTAAAGCAGTGTTGCTGTAAATGAGAATCAGGTCTACCACTTTTTTAACTGTCACAATGTCCAGAAAGGCACTGTAGGAAAGAGGAGGAGACAAATAGACATTTCATAGTTCAATGGCTTATAAGACATCTCCGTGGCACTCTGACAGTTTCCCCTGTTCATATATTTCACTTCAATTCACAGTCCTGTTGTGTGGAGCAGAACTTGCCTTTATACACCTGCTCTAGCACCAGTAGCATTGCATCACTATGGGAATCAGAGATGACCAAGCTGTCTGCAGGGCTAGCCCCAAGAGCCCTGCCTCCTGTGTTTTGCCCAATTCTTTTATAAATTACACAAGCTATATTTCTGTTACAGACATGAGAGGCATTTCCACTTTACTACACTTCAACATCAGGAAACATTTCCATGCATTCAACCTCATTTTGTCCCTTTTAAACTTGATTTGAACTTGTGTCAAGAATAAAAACAATCGACCTTCAAATTTCTGTCCTTTGAGGATGCTCATGCTGTCCCAGTATTTGCACGCAGAGAACTACCTAATTTAAGCGAAGCATTGCTAGCAGGCAAACTTCCTAGAACAAGTAAAAAAGCAGCTCAAGATTTTAGCTTCTTCCTTTTCCTAAACTCTTATTTCCTAGCTCTAGCAGCTAACCAAAACCATCAATTAATCCTCCTGTTACCACATACAATTAGCAGTTATGCTTACTTCTAAAGGAACCTTCATATTGTGATTTTCAGGGTATGCACTCAGTGTAGGAAATGCAGCTTTATCGGAGTCCAGTGCAAAACGTTGCATTAGGATGATTTTCAAATGCTAAATATTTGATAGTCTCCAAAATCCCATTCCATTCAAAACTCAAACATTGAGGGAACCCCAACAGTCATTTGGAAAACCTTAGCCACATTAATGGTGGAGGTGTTAAACACTCCAGGTCAGGTCCACACATGCTCTTTTCCTAGAATTTCTTTCTCAGCTGTTTGCACTGTTCTGGTTCTGCACAAAATCAAGGAAAAAATGTAGTGGGTACATGTAGCCAATCAGGCCCATGTACACTCTCATCACTCTGATCTGGTGGTGGGGAAGACCTTAAAATGGACTGAGATTACAGCTATACTCACTTAATGACCTCTCTGTATTGGCTACCAGAAGAAAGAAAAGGCAGGACTCCAAGATGATCAGGATGCCATTAGTTTTTTGGAAGATACAGCTTTGTATGTCAGTATTCAGAAAGCAGTGCCAACATCTAATTAAATAAACATCAATATTAGAAAATTCTCAGCCTTCCTCCCCCTCCCATCCAAGAATGATGCCACTGTGGGAATCTCCCTTCTACAGGCTAAGAAGGTCACAAAAATCAGTAAGAAATATAACACAAGAGAGTGTAATTTCTGTTTGTTTTCCACCAGGAAGATTAGAACCACTAATAATAATCAAGGAGAGATCATCAGCAATTCGATCCTTGGAGCTGTCTTGAGATTTACACTTAAAGGAGCACTTGCACCTCACCTTGCACCTTAATGACTGAAAACAGCCTCCAAATTTGGCACACTAACTTTTCAGAGGACTCTCATTCTAACCCATTAGCAAGATGTTTACCAAAGTTCTCAGGAGGAGGAAAAGAAAAAAAAAACTCCTATTTGCTATGCTTTCTTCATGTTTCTGCATCTTGCCCAAGCTGGTCATCTAAACTGCGACAGAGAACATGAGTGTGACCTGAGAAGCTGCTGGGCTTCCTCCAATTTCCCTCACTGACCCATCTTGGAGATCCCAAGGAGGTAGGATGGGCAGCAGAAGGACCTGAGATAGATGCTGTGGGAAAGATGGGCTTCTGTGGAGGTGGGGTGGGACACGTGAACAAGAAACAGGCATGATCACAATAGATTTCAACAATTCTAGGAGGGATGCAAGAAAGATCAGGGCAGAATGGTGGCAGGCTGTAACATCGGGAAATTTGACACCAAAGTGCCAGGACTTTATGGAGTTCCTGGCAGGGCCAGCCAGCAAGGTGCTGCAGAGGGCTCTGCACTGCATCAGTAACACACAAGGGCCATCCCCTTCAGCAGCAGTACTGTCCAGGTACACCAGCACAACCACCAAGGCCAGAAGGCTTCATTTCCTTGATGCAGCCTACACACAAACCGGTTCCCAAACAGGTAATGAGGGAGTCTGGGCAAGAGAATAGCATGTCTGCTCTGAGTGACTGTCTGCAAAGGGGCACAACATGAGGGCAAAGGGGCTGTGCAGGTGAGGTAATGCAAGACGAAATCCTGCCTGTAAGACAATGAAGGCTTAATCCATGATTTTCTGTTTTAGACTGAATGATGAAGAGAGAAAGAGAAAGAGGGCAGGCAAATTAATTTGATTTTCTAGAATCACCTTTTAGCAAAGAATTCAGCTTACATATTCATTTCTGGAGCAGCTCACTGCAAGCACTAAAGCACCCAACTCTTCCTCAGATTAGTGGAAACAGAGCAGCTACAGTTCTCAAATTGAGTTGCACAGAAGCAGGACACACATAACACTGTGGAGACAGGCTGGCAGTGAGAGCCCTGCTGTACGGATGAGCAGACAGGAAGAAAGAAACAAGGGACATGTCCTTGGGCACAGAGCAGGACAGTGCTCTGTAAGAAGACTCGGGGGGACCAGACTCCCCATCCTGTGCTCTGACCACTAGGTAACACCACCTGTCCTAAATTTGAGGCTGTCAGCCCTGCAAGCTCATGGAGAGTGTTTCCAAGGCTGCTTGGCATAGGAAATAGAGCATTAAAACTGCATCAAATGGCTAATTTAGGACCAGCAGAGTGACTATGACATTTTAAATTGTTTCAGCTAGTGATGGGGAAAGCCTGGAGAGGAAAAAGTGGCAATCTGAGGGGATTTGGTGCGAGATAGGGAAGGAGTTAACCACATTTTTCTTGACCAGAGACAGCACTGAAGTGGATGAGCTTGAAATCAGAACTAACCACTTATACTTCTGTCTCCAATTCTTTGATGGGAATCAGCTCTTCTTGAAGCTTCTGACTAGGTGGGCAAGTTTGGACAATGCCCCAGTTCAGGCCATAGCCCTCTCTGACTAGCATGCGGGCACACACACTCTCCTGTGCACTGTCGGTGCTTGTTATACTAAAATGCAACAAGCATCTGTCTGAAAGCGCATGATGATCCTCATACAAACCATTTTCCTGAATAAGATGGGCCATATGAATAAAGCAGTCTCTCCAGTGTCAGCATCAGGCAATCATCTCAGAAGTCCAGCACACAAGCAAAGAATAAAAGGATGGTACAGGTGAGTGGAAGGTGTAGGTGGAGGGCAGGAAAGGAATGGGCAGGGAATACCTCTGCCATCCCAGCAGCAGAGATCCAAACCATCTCCCCTACCCAGGTGCCAGCAACACCCTGCTGGGACTGGGAGGTTGCAAACAGCCCTGACAGAGTGCATCATCCCTGCCTGACACAGTGCTTGTAAGCCCCAGTCTGGTGTCTGCCTGCACGGGGCTTGATAGGTAGGTGGCTGGACTTAAAGGATAAGGAAAAGGGAGCCTGGACCAGAGTATTTATGTGCAAAGGGGAATTCTGACCTTCAAATGGCAAGTGATGGACAAATAAAGGATTAACCAGTACTAACTATACTGTTAATAGCTTCTGCTCTCATCTGAGAGACTGAAATATTCTAGAATTTTTTAAATAGGAAAACTGCAACCGATCCTGTCAGCTTCTGATTTAAAACTTCATTCCCACAAACCCATGGGAAGCTTAAAATAATACGGGTATTATTTCTGCACACCATTGCTCAGCATTTCAGTGGCTGTCTGTGCCTCAGATGACTACCAGTATATGCATATCAGCCATCCGGACCCAGCTGCAAGTGCATGAAATCTTTTGAGATAAGGCAGTTTCCAGGGAATATCGAATCCAATTGCTCATCCTCTGAAAGATTAGAAAAAGCTTTTCCTGGGCTTTAGATAAAATTTCCTCATCCTTTGTACTGACCAGGACTGTGCTATCAGGCTGTCACTCCTCCTCTCAGAGACTCTCCCATCGCTTATC